ACGAGTTTGAAGGCGGCACTCTAAGGCCCCTCGAACTCAGCGATGGCCGAGGCACCTCGAAACATGCCACTGCCGCGCGCCAGGAACAGCTGCAGCAAGCAACGCCCGCACCCCGGCAGGTACAAGAGGCGGCGCATGCCAATGCCTCTCTGACTCTGCTGTCGCTGGTTCTCCCCTAAACCCGTAAACCGTAAACCCTAAACCCTAACCCCTAAACCCTAAACCCTAAAGCCTGTTCTTGCAAGGCTTGAGCTGAGGTTTGGGGTTTAGGGTCGAAGGTAAGCCCCCAATGAGCCCGTACCACCCCCTAATCTGGTTAAGGGCTTATAGGGTTTCGGGACGTATACACCTTGTTGGGGAGCCATGGTGCTCAGAACTCGATGGCGTGCTTTTCGAGTTTTTGGCGCCTAAGGCCTAAGGCCCCGGTTAAGGCTTCTCCAGACATTCGGCGTGTGCCTCTATAGATAAAGCAAGCCCCTATAACCCTAAACCCTAAACCCTAAACCCTAAACCCTAAACCCTAAACCCTTCCCCAACTAACTTGTTGGAGGTGGGCAGATTCGGTTAGCTCGTTTGCCCACTCCTATTCTATATACCTTACCAGGATGGGCGATGAGGCCGAGTAATCCCCATCATCAACCCTAAACCCTAAACCCTAAACCCTAAACCCTAAACCCCAAACCCTAAACCCTACAACAAAAGGAATTATAAGGTATCTTAATAGCCCAGTAACCATATTATAATAAGGGCACCCCTTTGGGGTGGTTACTTTAGAAGGGAACCCATAACCCAAAAAACGGGGGTAAAGGGTACCACTGGGCTACCAAGGTATAAAAGCATAGCCCATCCTGGTCTGCTTAGGGCCCTTTTTTTTTTTCTTTGGGGGGGGGGGGGGGGGGGGGGGGGGGGGGGGCCCCGGGGGGGGGGGCTGGGGGGGGGGGGGGGAAGGGGGGGATTGCACCGTAGAACAGCCACGAAGCTGCTCGAGCTGATGGGCATGGGCAGTCTGTGGGTTTATTAGAGTTGCAGAACGGCCCCGCTGTTGATAACCAGTGCAGAACTCCCATAAAGAATCTGAGGTGCGTCTTTTGGGGTTTACCTTCGGGACCAGATGAACCCTAAAATTGGGGTCACATACCCTATAGACTACTAGCATCCCTGCTACCGTAAAGCCTCTTAGGGCTCATTTGGTCCCCACAATTGGGGGGGTGGGGGAGTCGAAGATGAGCCGAGATGCAGGCAAACCCGAGAATCGTGGTGTAGACCAGCAGCGGCAGAGCAAACCATCCTTGACGCGGCGCAGCCGTCTGCAATGCCTTCAGCTCCCAAACCGCCAGGAACGGACAGGCCGCGACGACATAGAGCGCCACAATCCTTAAGGGGACGAAATGAGCCCTAAACTTGGGGGTCATATACCCTGACTACTATAATTCCTATTAAGGTACTATGAACCATAAAAACCCTTTTAGGGTTCATAACTCGTCCCCAAGGATCTTTGCCATCATCTTCAGGATGAAGCATCGCTCATCGCGCGGGCTCCGCCAGAGAATCACAAGCAGCGCGGCGCGCACCAGGAAGGCCAGGAGCTCCAAGACCCAGAGGGGGACGATCGAAAGGTAGATGTCATCATTCAGGTACACCTTAAGTCGAGTTGTCCGGAAGACCACCCTTCCTGAAAGACCTCCAAACCTCACAAGACCTCAACAATTAACAAGGGTTTAGGGTTTAAGGTCAAAGGTTTAGGGTCAAAACACCAAAAGCCCGTAAACAGGCTAAACATGCTGGACCCAGGACTATAGCCTAACCCTAAACCCTAAACCCTCAAGTTGAAAGAGGGGAAGAGCGGAGTGAGCATCTGACCCAAACCCTTTTCGAACCCTAAACTCTTTTCAACCCTAGCCCTACACGCCAGAACTCTACAGCCTGTTTAGGCCTACGTAACCCTGAATTAACCCTAAACCCTAAACCCTAAACTTGGCCCTAAACGCTAAACCCTAAACCCTAAACCCCTGAATCTGCCCAAGAGGCGATGTCCACGTAGATCGACCAGAGGGTCTCCAGACTGAGTGGAACCAAGGCCACGAAGGGAAAAGCAATCACAGCATAGCCCGCGCTGCGTACCTGAATTGGGTTTAGGGTTTAGGGTTTAGGGTTAGGGTTTAGGGTTTAGGGTGTAGGGTCTAGGGTTTAGGGTTTAGGGTTTAGGGTTTAGCGTTTAGGGTTTAGGGTTTAGGGTCTAGGGTTTAGGGTGTAGGGTTTAGGGTGTAGGGTGTAGGGTTTAGGGCTGGGTTTACGGTTTAGGGGGAGGTTTTTGTTCAGGTCTTTGGCTGACAAAAAACCCTGGGGGCCTTGAGGGCCGATACGGCACGCGGTTTAGGGTTTAGGGTTTCGGGTTTGGGGTTCGGGGTTTAGGGAATTTTGGTGCCCTTCAGCCTTGAGAAGACGATTGCTGTGTGTACCTATAAAAACACCCAGTTATTGTTCTTTGTTTGGCGTGGCTACCTCTCATCGTTTTGTCCTACCCCGATCCTGACCATAGACTCCGGGGATTCTAGTATCCCAAAAAAGTGTAAAGTGTGCTCACTCAGCTACTAAGTAGAGGTATAGAGCCTGGGGTCATTTGAGTTCGAGGCTCGTCTTTGCCTCACCTACAGGCCTCCCTAAACCCTAAACCCTAAACCCTTATAAACCCTAAACCCTAAACCCTAAACCCTAAACCCTAAACCCTAAACCCTAAACCCTAAACCCCTCTGTTTGCAGTTTAAGGCGTTAAAGGCTGGTTCGCTTCTGGGTGGGAAAGCAGGTCCTGGCTTGGAACTACCTTAAGAACCCAAAACCCAAAACCTAATTGGTTTATAGTTTAGGGTTTAGGGTTTTTGTAGCTTATGAATACAAGAACCCTTATAGGAGTCTTAAGTCTTAGGCAGCCTCCTTTTTTGTAGGTTTTGGTTTCTCTAGTATGGCGTGGTGGGTAGAGAGCTTCGGTTGCTGAGGAACATCGACCCCTCCGCGCGCAATCTCCCTCAGAGTGGGCGATGACATGCCAGCTGCAAGCAGCACATGGATGGCGTAGTCCACAGCCCCCATCTTCTCGCCAATCCTTGGGGACGAGATATGAACCCTAAAAGGGAGTTATAGTAGTCAGGGGTATATGACCCGAAAAGGAGCTTTATGGAGCTTCATGGCTCATATACCCCTAATAGGAGATATAGTAGTCAGGGGTATATGACCCGCAGTTTTAGGGTTCACAACCCTAAACCCTAAACCCTAAACCCTAAACCCTAAACCCTAAACCCTAAACCCTATTCGTCCCCAAGGAGCTCCCCCAGAATTCGTGCGGCATCCGCGGCTTGGGAGCACGTCGCGCGCGCGATGCTGCCTTGATAGCTGCGGCTGAGCTGCCGGGCCTCCTGAATTCCTTGGGAAGGAACTATGAACCCTAAAAGGGCTTTGTGGCTCCGAATTATGAACCCTAAAAGGGCTTTATGGCTCATATACCCTTAATAGGAGTTCTAGTAGTAGAGGGTATATGAACCCTAAAAGGGTTTATGGCTCATATACCATAGTAGGAGTTATAGTAGTCAGGGGTATATGACCCTAAAAGGGCTTTATGGGGCTCATATACCATAATAGGAGTTCTAGTAGTAGAGGGTATATGACCCCAAAAGGGCTTTATGGCTCATATACCATAATAGGAGTTATAGTAGTCAGGGGTATATGACCCCAAAAGGGCTTTATGGCTCATATACCATAATAGGAGTTACAGTAGTCAGGGTATATGACCCGCAATTTTAGGGTTCACAATTCGTCCCCAAGGTTCTTGCCAGGCCATTGACGCGGTCGACCTCCAGCCTTGGGGACGACATGAACCCTAAGAGGGTTTTTATGGCTCATACGCCTTACTATAGGTTTCAGAGTAGTATAGGGTATATGACCCGAATTTAGGGTTCATTTCGTCCCCAAGGAGCAAGAAGAAGAAGGTCATTGCGGCCAGAATCATGAAGCGCTGCTCCACGAAGGGTATGAGGTCAGGCATGCCAGTGGCATGCTTGTGCTCGGAGTTGGAATAGTCGAAGTTCAGAGTTTGCCAGCGGAGGAGCATGATGCCGCACGCCCATGCGCCCGTCCTGTTTAGCATCTTGCGCCACCAGTTGTGGTTGATGTTGGCGCTGATCGATGCAGCCGCCACGAGGATGCACAGCGGAATCGGCTGGATCTGAATCGTTCGCATTGGCAGACCTCGGATGCTCCCCGTTTGAGAAGGAAGTGCGTCTCAGGCAGGGTTTCATGGACGAGTAAACTGGTGGGAGTTTCCGAAATTCGGGGTACCTTCTAATTCTAGTTCATGGTTGGGATAAAATGTACTTGTTCATTCCTTATTGGGTTCAAGTACTCTTAAACATGTAAAATGCTACCCAACTATGACAGAGTATTGGGTTCTTATCACAAGGGAATCCTACTCGTTGGGGCTCTATATTAAGGGTCCCTTATTTGCGGAAACCCCCAAGGTGAGAACAGGTGCAAGAGGATCCAAGGTGCCGCACACCATGCCGAATTGTCCTGGTCACCGGGACTGTGCAATCGCCTAGCCTCCTTTGGCGTCTATCCCTCTGAAATTACCGGACACAGCAACTACATCCTAAACCCAAAATCCTAAACCCTAAACCCTATAAACCCTAAACCCTAAACCCTAACCCCTAAACCCTAAACCCTAAGCCCCTAACCCCCTAAACCCGGTGTCCTGCTAAGCTCGCTCCAATCAGCGCCGCGCATATCTCCCTGCTGTTGGAAGCCCGAGCAATCAAGATCGTCTTGCCTTCCTCGTGGGCGCGGTAGGCTTCGTACCCACACCACAGCCTGACTAAAAATCACTAAACCCTAAACCCTAAACCCTAAACCCTAAACCCTAAACCCTAAATCCCCTCCCCCCCCTCCCCCGTCTTGGTGTCCAGGCCTGGTGTAGATAGGGTTTAGGGTTTAGGGTTTAGGGGCCTGCCAGCCTGGTGTAGATACTACAGTGGCGGTTGGGCACCACAAGGACGCACGTCGAAGCCTGAAGTGCCAGCGCAAACGGCGAGCTGCTGGGAGATTGCAGCAAGCCTTGGGGACCAAACGAACCCCTAAGATTGGGGGGGGGGGGGGGGGGGCATGTACCCTCTACTACGATAATTCCTATGAAGGTATATGTACCATAAACCCTTTTAATTGTTGTTATTACGGACTGAAGTGTAAGCACAATAAAACCTTTAGGGTTCGTTGAGTCCAAGGAGCTGCTAATATCCAAGTGCTGTGGGTTGGCCAGCATGCAGCACCAGACGTGCCGTGCACCCGCTGGCCAGGAGTGCAAGACCTTGGACAGAAACTCAAAAACGCCCTCCTGCCAGGCGTGGCTGATGAATAAGTCGCAGTCCAGACCTTTCGGATGTCGCATCAAAGCCCAGCTCATCTTCCCAGCTTGCGCCGTCACCGGCATGATGTGCTGCCTGTTCACTGTGTAGATGTTTGGCCCAAACCTGGGTTGCCCAGTAACCTGGGATTAAACAGGGTGCCCTTTTTTGCTTAAAGGGGTTTATAAGGGAACCTAAACCCCCCAAAAAGGGAATAAGGGCACTACTGGGCATCCTAGAAACTCATCGTCGGAGGAGTCGAAGTCGTCTGTATCGTTGTCAGCTGGCCGAATGTCCCCGTGCTGGATGGCCTGCCACACCTTGGGGACGAAATGAACCCCAAAATTGGGGCCAGATACCCTGTGCTTCTGTGACTCCCATTAAGGGTATATGAACCCTAAACCCTAAACCCTAAACCCTAAACCCTAAACCCTAAACCCTTTGAGGGTTCATATTCGTCCCTAATGGCACCTCTTGCCGCAGAAAGAGGAGGTCAGTGCGGGTGACGCACCAGCGGTCAGGGGCCACGGACTCGTGCAACGCAAGCGCCTCCCGCGTGGCCGATGCGCGAAGCGTGGCCATTTGCCCGAAGCCAAACGGGAGCAACCAAAAATTGGAAAGCAAATTTGGGATGTCTGGGTGTAGGTCCTTATGATGACAAGGGCTGGCATTAGAACCGTGCTAGGGGGAATGTGCAGAACAGTCTGCGACTGGAAACACACTCGCTCGTATGCCTGGAAACCCGACCTTACAAGTGGCAGCCTCTGACCTATCTAGTCAATTCAAATCGAAACTGTGGCCCTAACCCTTTGTACTAAACCCTAAACCCTAAACCCTAAACCCTAAACCCTAAACCCTAAACCCTAAACCCTAAACCCTAAACCCTAAACCCTAAACCCTAAACCCTAAACCCTAAACCCTAAACCCACCCTACATGGAACCCGCTGAGTTCGCATTCAGGGTTTAGGAGGCCCAATCGAGGAGCGTGGCTTCCCTAATCAGGCGACAGCCTGTGGTCTGACCATGGTCAAGGGTTTAGGGTTTAGGGCTAGGGTTTAGGGTTTAGGGTTTAGGGTTTAGGGTTTAGGGTTTAGGGTTTAGGGTTTAGGGTTTAGGGTTTAGGGTTTAGGGCTTAGGGCTAGGGTTTAGGAGTTTAGGGGTTTAGGGGTTTAGGGCTAGGGTTTAGGGGTTTAGGAATTTAGGCGTTAGGGTTTAGGGCTTAGGGTCGGCCTGAGCAAGCTGGTCTTTTCGTGCGCGCACGGACGGCTGAAACAACAAAAAAAGTCCTTGATGACGAAATGAATCCCAAAATTGTAACCTACACTACTAGAATTCCTATTAAGGTATGAACCGTCCACCCTTTTCGGGTTCATGTAGTCTCCAAGGATGTCAAAAAAAACTCATGAAACTGACAAAGTCCGAACACACTAACTATAGAAGACTGCAAGACCCAAAATGCACAATACTCTGGATTGCTTAGGTCCTCCCCCTAACAAAATTCACTGTTAAATTCACACAACCCACTCCAAGCCGCATATTCTGAAATTTACTCCTGCGGTCTCGGGCTTACCTTGAGAGCCCAAACCCTACATTTTGCAGGCCCCCTGGCAATCCTACAAGGGGGCTTGTTGTCATAAGAACAATAACGACAAGCTAGAAACAAAGTCCAGTAGAGCTTACAATCTACAGGCTCGAGGTCAGACTCTGGGTACTTTAGTTCTGAGCCATGTGCCATGCAACCCTAAACCCCAAACCCTAAACCCTGAACCCTAAACCCTAAACCCTCAACCCTAAACCCTAAACCTGACTTGGGGGGGGGGGGGGGGGGGCTCTTGGCCCTGTAAGATTCCTAGACAATATCCTCTTAGGCCCAGCTGATGGTGTAGGGCCTAGGGTGATGCTTTTTGTCCTCAAGAATAAGGGATATTCAGGAAGGACCCCCTATAACCTTTATATATACATATATATATATACATACCTTATATAGCCCCGTATATACCTAAGTAGCCCCCAAGTAATCCCTAAACAAGCCCTAAGGTCCCTTATAAGGGTCCCTCTTCTAGTCCCTTGCGGGCAAGGCTGAGGCCAAGGGCCTCCTTTAGTGACGGTGGCTGTCTGGTTCATGGGCTGCTGAAATGGGGACTCAGCCCCGAACCCCTAAAACCCTAAAACCCTTTACGACCCCCCCCCCCCCAAAAAAAAAAAAAAAAAAAAAAACCTAAATCCCCTTACATCCTGAGTTCTTAATCTTGCCCTGAACAACCATGAGACACATATTTGGGCATGTGGTGACTTATCGTGAATCCTAAGCCCTAAACCCTACATCCTAAACCCTAAACCCTAAACCCTAAACCCTCAGGAAGCTGGCATCGGACATGTGGGACAAGGTGGCTCGAAGCTTGATGGCATGATACTGGCGCAGGGTACCCTGCAAACCCTACACCCCCAAACCTCCAAACCCAAAAGTACCTCCCATAAACCTCCTAAGCCTAAACCCTAAACCCTAAACCCTAAACCCCTAAACCCTAAACCCCCACTGTCAGAAGCCGCCTCGGAAAGACCTGCTCCGACGCCACGACGAAACGCCTCGCCAGCTCCACTCGCAGAGTGGGCTCGGAGTCGCTATGCTGCCTCGAGAGAGAGTAGAGGGTTTAGGGTCTAGGGTTTAGAGTTTGGGGGTTTTAGGGTTGAGGGTGTTGGGGTGGTTTTAGGGCAGTCTTGGGGGGGTGAGAGGGGGTATAGGAGGTTTAGGAGGTTTCTTGGGTGGTTCGGGTGCTTAGGAGGTTGAGCGTTCAGGGTTGAGGGGGCCGATGTTTTTGCCACTCGCCTAGCCAGGCACCGCGGGGCAAGCAGTTGAGGGCTTAAGGGTTTGCAGGGGCCTGATTTCAGGAACCCTTTTGCCCCACGCTAAACCCTAAACCCTAAACCCTAAACACGCCATGCGCCTGTACAGCCTCACCAGCAACTCCTCCTTCTGCAGGATCTCAGCAGTCCTTCCCACGCGACGGGCTCTTTGGTGTGGAGGTTTGAGGGTGTAGGATGTGCATGGGGTTCAGGTTTCTAGAAACCCTAAACCCTAAACCCCAAACCCTAAACCCTAAACAACCCTATTAACACTGGCGGAAGGTGAAGGGCTTCGGAGTCTACGTCGAAGAGGCGAGGTCAAGCGTAGGTGTTTAGAGGCTTGTGCCGAGCCATCCAGACGGTGGGACATCTGCCTGACAGTCTGCTTTATGCCCTAAACCCTAAACCCTAAACCCTAAACCCTAAACCCTAAACCCTAAACCCTAAACCCTAAACCCTAAACCCTAAACCCTAAACCCTAAACCCTAAACCCTTGCCACCATGCCTTGAAACTCAGGGTACTGCAGGACGCTCCTTGCCGCGGTCCATGCGCAAGGCGATGGAGCCGAGCAGGGCGATGCTAGCACAACATCGGCCTCTCCTTGGCATCCGCCATTGTGAGGGTTTAGGGTTTAGGGTTTAGGGTTTAGGATTTAGGGTTTAGGGTTTAGGGTTTAGGGTTTAGGTTTAGGGTTAGGCCAGAATAGTCCCTAAACCATAAACCCTAACACCTAACCCCTAAACCCTCAGCCCTAAACCCACCTTCTTAGGCTCAGTCCATATTCTGAACTGCCTTCACGTGAACCCGACGAGCTCCACTCATGGGTGCTCTACCGAGGAGCAAGCTCGAAATATACACCAGTTGAAAAGATGCTGGCAATAAGCACGACCCCAATTAATGGGGATGTTCCCCTTATACTAACAGTCCTGAATAGGGGTTATCATAAGGGGTACACAAATTCCTATTGAGGACTGCCAGTATAAGGAGGAGCATCCCAACAAATTACCATCATCAGAAGCAGAATCATAAAACAAAAGGAGCTGATAGGAATTCCGAACTGTCGAACGCTTCAAAGATCAGAAAGTCTAGGCACTTTGAAATTTCGCAATCCCGCGGCAGTGTGAGTACCAGACAAAGAGAGAGAGAGAGAGAGAGAGAGAGAGAGAGAGAGCCCTACTATGTGCGGATCTTATATACATACATACATCTATGAATGTTTTTTCTTTTTCTTCATGTTCTTCTTCTAATGCTGTGCTCGAGCACAACCCTAAACCCTAAACCCTAAACCCCGGAGTACCTGCTCCCGCATCGGCTGCCAGCTGGCGGCTGCCTACCTGCATGGAGGGCTCTACTTCAAGTCACATCCTTATAAGTTCAGGGGCTCCTTATTCCCTCAACCCTTATCAACCCTAAACCAGGAGGGGCTCCGGAAAGCTGAATGACTTCGCTGAAGCACGGTTTCAGTTGGGATCCTGCTTGCCCCTTCTGGGGATGAGGATACGTCCGAACTCAGCAAGCACCTAGTCGTAGCCCCAATTTGCCCCTGAACCCGTTTCCAGCAGGCTTCCTAAGCCCTAATCACCCCTAGCTTGGGGACCAAATGAACCCCAAAATTGTGGTGACCACTAGAACCCGTTTGAAGGCCTATGAAGCCATAAACCCGTTTAGGGTGCATTGGGTCCCCGAGGTATAGGCCCTGGTTATACTACGGAGTCGCGGACCAAGATACCTCGCAGCAGCGAAAGGCACGACACGAGTCGAAGGGCAGGCTGCAGCGTTGGCAGCCGCAAACGAAGGCCTCTCTCTTATAGGGTTTAGGGTTTAGGGTTTAGGGTTTAGGGTTTAGGGTTGCGGGTTGAGGGGTTTTCATAGGGTTCTGAAGGGAGGGGGAATACAGGGGGGGTATGGAACCTGAATACTCCCCACCGCTCCCTAGGGCTGCATGAAGCAGCCTGGGGACGTGTCCGTCGTTTTGGCTTAAGGCTTGGGCCTCAGAATTTCTTTTAGGGCTTAGGATCTTGTTTCAAAAAAGAAATGAGCACGCAAGATGACAAGGCTTCGGCAGATCACCGGCATCGTGTCCGAGGATGTATAGACAGAGCCGTCGCATAACCCTAGACTCACCGCTCAGGCCGCCCCGGGCGGCACTTAGCCTACACGCCATTCCACGGCCAACCCCCTTTGTTGAACCCGGTTTGCCGTAAATACACCCCGAACCGAAACCCTACACCCCTAAAACCC